GGGGCACCGCAGCAACCTAGATATGACTTGGCTTTGCTCAGTAAGCAAGGAGATTAAGAAAAGTCTTATCCCTCGATTGGCAATAATGGATGCCATACTACTTAGAAATTACACAGAGAGAAAAATTGTAAATTCCTGAGTAGAATTAAGTCAAACTATACTCCCTCTGTCATCTCTGTGCCAATAATAATGTTTCTGCAGCCAGTGGCTCACACTGTGCCAACGCAGCTGCTATCCTAAATTTTTTCTAGTAGAAATTCAGGAGGAAGACAGTCCTCACGCCTCATCTTGAGAAGGAAAACTTCCAAATCCTAGCAGCAGTGGTCAAATAGAAGCAGGAACAGAACTGCAGTGGGTAATCTTTGTGAAGCGGTTAGCAGCCAGGGCAGAGAGGCTTAGCATGAGTCACCTGTCTGCACCAAGACCAGCATATTTACATAGAAATAAGCTGTGGAAAAATAAAGAGGAAAAGAAAAAAAAAAACTGTGTGCTATTATTTCATGTACTCATATAGCCCAACATACAAGAAAATATTATAGTCATAAAACATATGCATATCAATGTAAATATTCCCAAACCACTCATTTATAGGACAATGCCTTAAAAATAATCTACTCTTCACATGTGATCCTCAACAAACTCACTTCGATGTATAAGAAGGCTCCCCCTTTTTTTTTTTTTTAAAGAAAGCCAATTTTTAAAAAATTACATTTTGAGAAATACAAGGCTGTGTGGGACTAAGGAAACTGAAGTGTTTTTCAAACATCTTAAGAAATACAAGATCTATCTCAGGAAGGTCTTGGTTTGTGTGTGGTAGGGGGAAAGCAAAAGCGAGACTCAAACAAGCAGGGCCATAGATAATTCTATTTTTTTTTTTTTTTTTTTTTTTTTTTTTTTTTTTTTTTGTCTTTTGAGACAGGGTCTCACTATGTAGTTGAGCCTGACCTGAAACTCACTATGTAGTACAGTCTGGTCTCAAACTCACAGCAATCCTCCTGCCTCAGCCTCCCAAGTGTTGGGATGACAGGCGTGCACTACCACGCCTGGCTAATTCTGTACTTCTTAAACCAAAACTATACTTCTATCTGCTTTATCTGACAGGTATTCACGCAAGAGATAACTACTGATCAACAAGGAAAAGCACAACCAAAGCAGGGTTTGAATCCTGGAGCTCTTTACTAGCTCTATGATTTAGGAAAATGACCTAATCTCTCTGAATCTTAGTTTGCCCTTTTATAAAAGCAGTAGAATAAATAAATTTTAAAAAAGGTACTACTAACTGCTTGAAGGGTGTGTTATGAATATCTCTTCTGTGTATTCTTGCCAAAATCTATAACCTTGGTCTAATCATGAGAACTCACTGGAAAAACCCAAGGTTAGAGACATTTCATAAAATAACTGACCAGTATTCTTCACAAGTACCAAGGTCATGAAAAAATGAAAAATTGTCATAGATTGGAAATCCATGACAAACAAATGTGATGTGGAATCCTGGAATGGATCCTCAACCAGAAAAGTGATCAGTGGAAAAACTGGTGAAATTTGAATTAGGCCTGTAACTAAATAGTACTGTATTAATATTAATTATTTTGCTTTGATAATTGTATAATGATTATTAAAGACACAGTTTGGTGATGGGTATATAGGAATTCCCTGCATGAATGCTGCAAATTTGTAAGTCTGAAATTATTTTTTAAAAATTATAAAAAGTCCTCTCATGAGGACTAAATACAAGATCAGAAATCTATTACAGTGTCTATTTTCTTGGTAAACATTTTTCCTTCAACTAGTGGCTACACTTAGCAATTGTTAACAGCAGAAATAGCATGTTAATATCGACCACACATAGCTGAGGATGGCTAACAATGAAGCATGTTGTTGAGGAGCATTAAACTGCGGACATTTCATATTTCACCTAAACTATAAATAAGCTTACAGAAATCCATTAAGCATCAATATTTCACTCTCTGTACAATACAATCATGAATTAATGCCTAAAGAAGCATGAATTCTATGCTTGGCCAATGCTGACAGGCTTAAATTTACCAAATGCCATCAGCATTTAAACATAACATGTCAGGTTTTCAGTCCTGACTCTGTGATTACTCTCATCTTGTTCGATTTCAACAGTTTTCTGTCAAGCAACACCTGGAAAAATAAGCCTTTCTCATATAAATTGTTGACATCTTACAATGGGTATTGTGTGATATGCAATATATATGGCTTCTTTCTTATATATACATATATATGGGTTATATGTGTGTATATATATGGGTTATATATAGATACGCAGGGATATATATATATATATATATATATATATATATATATGCATACATTTACTCAGGTTCTTGGTCTCATAACTGTACATCAAATGTAAAGTTAGCTTCTCACATACTAGACAAGTGAGCTACATCCCCAGTCCTTTTCTCCCTATTTTGAACTTGAGTTTACATCTAGCTTTGAAGAGCAAAAGCTTGTATAATTAAAATTATCAATGCTAAGCTTTACACCCAAGAAACTGTTGAAGAGATATTCCCCCCAAACATGAAAACAACTTAAAAACCTCATTCCTCCTATTAATCACAGTTCCTTACAAACAACTGCTGTGGCTTATTCAGGTTTGCTTCCTATTTCAAGAGATAAGTGCATAGCCAAAACCAGTAACAAAGGACTTGGATATTTCTTGATTTTTGATAAAATCATCCATGTCATAAATACACTTACTTCTATTATACTTTGGCAAAATATTTCTTTGTTTTTCTACAAAGGCTATGAGATATCATAAAAATGTCTAATGCATCTGGTTTAAGAATCCAATTCTTCCTTCACATATTTCTGCATCTGTTCACAAAATCCCTTTGACTTCAAAGGAAGCTTTTCAAGAGAAAAAGAAGATACACACAGGAAAAGTACCCATAAATTTTTAGTAGTCCTTTTCTAAGGCCATTTTAATAACAGCACTGTAGGACAAGCATCTCTCTCAGAAACCTAAAATACATGAAGAATACTAATGACTACAGGTTTGTATGGAGATTTATGTTCTCAAATATTTTCTTGGTTGTAAAAGTGATACACCTTCAATTTAGAACATGTGAAACACAATGCTTAAAGAAAACTTAAATTACTTTTAATCTGCTCTTTAGGGAGACCAAAGCACAACAAAAAAGTTAAGAATGATTATTTCCTTCTAGTCTACTTTTGTGTACATATTAATATTTATATATAAATATAAAATTGTACCCATACTACAAATACAAATTTATCTTTTCTCAGTCTTTCAAAACATCACTCTTTATGATTAAAAGGATATGTCGTTTTACATTTCACAAAAAATACTGTCACATTTAATTCTAATTTATTCAAAGCTAAATTAGAGGACTGGAAATACTACTCTCTTCTGTACATATCGAGGCAATCTAGTTTAACAGGTGACTGATTTTAAGAATAGTCTTATTCAAAAATGCCACTGAAACAACAGAAGAGGTTTCAGTTTTCTTTCTTTATTATTTGTAATGATTTAGTGCCTTTAACTTCCCTGGGTAATTGGTTGTGGTCTCTAGTTTGTTTTTTCTTTTTCTTTTATTCTTTAGTTTTCAATAAAGGTAGTATATGACTTAGTCATCTTGGTACCGGTGGTATACACTTCAAAATGCTATACCTTGTTATAAATAATTAATTCCGGTTCCAAAGAACCAAGCCCACAAACTTTAAGAAGAGTAGCTGATGATTTAAATAGGAATCAATTCTAACCTAGCACTGCCTCCTAAAATAATACATGAATAGGTGTTTGCTTACAATAAGCTTTCCAGTATATTTCCTTCATCTTTAAAAGGCTCACATTCATGAAGAAAATAAAAGTACAGAAAATTAAGTAATTTATGGGATTGTTAGAAACATAAGTTGAATTTAAATCTTAGTTTTCATTTATTTCTCACTGGATTTATTTTGCCCTCACATTGTGGGAGCCATGGATTTTCCAAAGCTTGAAAATACCTTAACACGTCAAGTAGTCTAACTTTTCCTACATCCCATTTGTAAGGAACATCAGCCTGGAGAGATTATGACTTACCATGTAACACAACTAGTTAAGTGGCAAAGCCCAGGACCTACGTTTTCAAACTTCCAGTCTAGTGCTCTTTCCAATACACCAGTTACAATATAGCATCCTCACGTTACACCTACACATTAACGAAAATGTGTATGTATTTGTCAGGAAATTGCCTAATAATCAGTTTCAAATTTCCCTTTATTTCTCAGAGTAAATATATTTACATATGTTAACATATATTGGTAGACAGCGTAGGTCAAATCGCTTACTACTGAGTTTGCACTTGGAAGACGTTTAGTAGTGAAGCCTGAACAAGTGAAAAGTTACCCTCCACTTTTTTGTTTTGTGGAATTCCAAACACGGCTCGCATGAAGGCCGTGTCATGCCCTCAGCAGGACAAGAAAAATGGTAACAACATGACGCACTGGGTAGCTTGCTGTCATTCTTTCACAAAACCTGCTACACAGAATACGCCTAAATAGGAGGAAAGGGCTTGGAAGGTGTACCACGTTGCCAGAGGTAGAGCGTCAGGCTGCGTTAACCTAACCTCTCAATTCTAAAATGCCGTCTCTAATTTCTCCAGACCCCTGGCTTGCTGTTAGGAAAATCAGAATAAGAGTAATAATGGAAGCACGAAAAGAGCAGTCCCAGAACTACAGGCTCCCTGGGCTCTTAAAACTTTATATCAAGATTGGCTTCTCACGTTACCCGGCAACAGCCCCGCTAGCGACCACGTGGTCCGGCGGCTGCGCGCTCCTTCCACAAGGGGTGCCTTACGTCATCACGTATCTTCGCAACGTCTCCACGCTCCTAGCGGGAGGGCTATGGACCGTGAGAGACAGGTCGGTACTCTTCCTAGGAATCAGGAAAAGGTTAATGGAAGGACGAAAGGGGGGCTGAGAAGAGGTTCAGGAAATAAGTCGGTGGAAAAAAAGTCGTGTTAGGTTACCTGGGGAGGGGAAGCAACTTCGGGTCCTTTGTGAAGTGCCCGGATGACGTTCCGGCTCCCACGCGCTTTCCTCATTGCGCACAGCGCCATCTTGAGAAGGGCGTGGCTGGCGTGTGCTGGATGACGTCACTGAGAGCCAGTCCTGGTCTCGCTGCTCCTTTCGCGCACTGTGCATGCGCATGTTCTCCCTGGACGGCAAAGTTTCGGGTGCGGTTTGGGAAGACGTGGATCTGGGCGTTAGTGTTTTCCTCGTTTTTGTGCCGTCTTCTTTGAAGGAGAATCTCCGTTGCGGGTATGAATAGTGGCGCCTAAGAGAGGGCATAAAGTCAAATAGGTTGTCTGTCTGATGCTAGCCATCTAGAGGCAGCTTTTCAGAATTTTCGCTCGGAATGAAGCTCCCTGTTTTCCCAGCCACATAGTGAGTGGTTTTTTGAAATCTTGTCTAGTACAGAGCCATGAATGAGACACCGAATGAAGGTATAAAGAACATGTATGAATCTTACCTTCGAGAACTGCACAGCCTGGAAGGTAGCAGATAAATAAATGACCCACTGATGAGGTGTTACAGACACAAGTACCAATTTTGGGAAGGATAGGTAGTTAGGACTGAAGTGCTTCATCCTGGACCAGGAAGGATTCAGAGAGAATAAGATGATGCGTAGTGGGAGAAATTGGTTAAAATTATGAGCAACCTTAATGGAGTTCTCCTGCTTCTATTAGTGTGTTCAGAAATCTCCCAGATAAAGAACCTTTCAGTAAAAATATGTACGTAAACAATTATATGTAATATAATCCCGGGAGGGATTTGTCAGAATTCCTTTGTATGTTATATTCATACGGCTGGTAAATACTGGAAATCACCAAAGGGAGGTAGAAAATAAATTGTGTAAGAGATGCCTGTGCTATCAAAAGGGTGAAGATTACCACATTATGACAACTTGATACAGTTAATAATGTAAATATGCCACATACTAATGAAGTTAAGCATAATTGGTGCAATTAGAAGTAAAGAGTAATTACAGAGGTGAAGGGGAGAAAAGCTAAGTAAATCAGATTACTTACAAATATGATATCTTTCAGATAGATACATGAGTCTGTAGCTTGGCAGGGAGGTTTGAACTACAAAATATGGTTATTGAAGCCAAGGAGATCTTTGACATTGCCAGATGAGAATTTGTGGAATAAAACTGGTAATATGATGAAAATAAATTAGCTAAGAGATATCCGAGAACCCAAAGACTATTTAATTGAAGTCCAAAATAAGACCTTGCCGAGGGAAGGGATATCCATTGTAAATTGCAATTTTTATCAATTGGTGCCTTGTTTAGTACTCGAATATAGAGCGAAGCATTACAACAGTTTTTATAGGTATGTTTTAATTAGATTATATGACCCCAGGAGTTAGCAAGATTAGCCATCTGATATTTCTAATTATCCAGATTTCAAGGTGAAACCTAACAATGAGACTGGTGCACCAGAAGCTGTTAGGGGCATGCATATTCTATATCCTCAAGTAGTACTTCGTTTTCTCTGCTGAGACTCATGTACTGTGACTGATAATATTTTCATGGGCACTATTTCCATAGCATATATCCACTGAAGAAAATTTATCAGAGCACAAATATGATTAGATGATTATCTTGATTTTTAAATTAAATTATAAGCTCTTATTAGAACTAAGTAATGTCTCACACCATGATGAGGTCCATGTGATTCTTGATTGTCATTCACCTAGTTCGTTTTTGGGCAAGGGTTATACAGATTTTATAATTACGTAGGAATTTTATAAATTTTACGTTTCCCCAGCATCTGCACGGTGCCTTACACGGAGTAGCCACCTCTTTAAATATAAATTTGCTTTTAACCAATTGCACAACATATTGGTGTACTACTTTTAACAGCCGGAAGAAATGTTGGACAGTAAAAAAAGAAACAGGGCCTGATAAAAGTAAACCAGCCACACATAATTTCAGCTACTCAGAGGCAGAAGGATCCAGGCCAGCCTGAGCAACTTAGTGAGACCTCGTCTCAAGATAAAAATAAAGCGGGTTGGGATGTAGCTCAGTGATGGAGTACTTACCTGTTATGCATGAAGCCCTGGGTTCAATCACTAGAAGTGGGGGGAAAAAATGAACAAATTCTTTCTGCTTTTATACTCTTTTAAAATAACATTCTAATATTGGGTAAAGAATGACCAAAAGGCTACCATTTTCTAACTCTTGTAGGAGGAGCTACAGTTACTAAGGTGTTTTGTTTTTGTTGTTTTGGGGTTGGGTTTTTTTTTTTTTTTTTTTGTTTTGGGG